AAAAAAAAAACAAAAGAAATGCATGTTGGAAAAAAAATTGTCTCATAATTGCAAAACAGTGATCAGCAGTGACTTCACAATGGAATACTCCTTTGTCCTCTGTCACTCTCCCTTTTATACAATCTTCCATCCAGTTCCATCAAGCACTCCCCACAATGGAAATTTCTGAAACAGCATTTTTTTCTTATCCTTTAAAAGAGAATGCTACATGTTCACACTCATTAAAAGGCTGTGATTTTGTACCTATGAGACCTCTCTTACTCTTTGATCAAACAAAACTTCTGTCTAAGTGAAATCTTGGTCGCTGAAGTAAAAAATAAAATTTCTTCTTATTTTAGTGGCACCCAGATTTCATTTAATGATTTACAAAGTAGGAAGGCACTGAATATAGCCCAGTGTAAAATTACCATTATACTCATTATTTACCATGCAATGGAATTGTAGAGCATTTAAAGAGTCATTGTAATAAACACCATAGTAAAGCAAACATACATTGCCCTGGATATACACGTGTGTGTGTGTGTGTGTGTGTCTGTGTGTGTGTGCACACAGAAAAAGAACACAGTGGGTGTGAGAGAGAACTTCTCTCCTATGCCCTGCTCCATTTATTATTCATTTCACTACAGGTCACAGTCCATGGACAATAGTATGGAAGATCTCTTTAATAACTCTCACTGCTAATTTCATTCTACTTAAACACACATATCCTAGGGAATGCCACGTGTTTTTCAGCATGATTTTATGTGTAAATCAGGATAACACGTTTTCAGAGCATTAACTAAAAGGAAGCATGAACTAAAACCTTTTTAACCAATGAGGTATTGCTTTTAAACTACCACAAGGTCATAAAAAAGATAATTTCAAAGCTATAAGTTTTCTAATTGTAATCAACAACAATCTAATGAGGAAAGAAAGTCTATCTGAATGGCTGTCATAAACCTGTGCACAGCCTTGTTTATCTTTAAAGATCCTTTACTTTGCCATTTGGTAACATTTTCACTACGAAATTTTGCTGTGCAAAATTAAAATGTGGCACTGGAATTAGAAATAATATTGTCTTACTGCTCAGTCTTAAATGAGCAGTGAAACTCAGATGCAGTTTTATTATTCTATAACAAAGTATATTTGTTAATATTAGGTGCAAATTGACAATAAAATTGGAAAAGTCTAAAATGTGCTGGAAATTGACCTTTTCCTTATTTCTCAGTAATGTCACACAAACTCTGTATTGTATTTACTCACTTTCCTGAAGTCTTTCTGCTGGTTTGGACCCAAACCTAGTCCATCTGTTTGCAAGTAAACTGTTTCAAATTTAACTGTATTTTGATCTCTAAGGTTTATGGGATTTCTCTTTTCTTTGTTTTTGTTTTTGTTTTACTTTAAAATGGTATTGTGGCAGTTTGAGCCACATTAGAAATCTAAAATCCAATTTTTAGACTTCCCCCCACCCCTTCCCACAATTTGTCCTAACACCAGAGAGAAACTTTCAGGCCAGAGGCTTCTGTAGGGGAAGGGGGAAGTATATACATTTATTTACACAAATAAATACTATACTAAAGGTAACTATATATATATATTACATTACTATCAGTAAGTCCTTTCAAGCCTCTCCTTTAACTTTAGTCCAGGAGCAGCCTTTAAGGCTGATATGTAACACAGTCTTTTGCTGTGGGTATGTTCTGGGCTCCTGAACGCTCCCCCCCTCACCAAGTTCAAGTTGTTTGCTGCAGTTTCTCTCCTCACGAAGTCCAAAAAGATAGTTTTGAGTCCTTGCTCTTCTGCTGCTGGTGATTTCTCCCTCTCGGTGTCTCACCTCAGTTAGTAAGCTGCTGCAGTGTAGCTTATCAAGCGTCTGTGTCCTGTTCATTCCTCCACGTCAGTTCTCGGCTGTCCCCAGTCAGCTTCGGCAGGCAACTCTCGAGCTCTTGGCTCGCCTCCAATTTCGCCTGGGATTCTTCTCCCGAGCGCCGGGCCTACTTCCACAGCCCATCTCTTGGCTCAGCTTCAATGTTGAGCCTCTCCTCCACTTACAGTGGAGGGAAAGAAAAAGCCCCCCTCTACAGCTTCACTGCAGAAAAGGAGGGGGAAGAGGGCTTGGCTGCAAAGCCTGCCTCTCTCCTCTTACCTCAGGTGCTGTGAATCTCTTCCTTCACAGCACACACTCCAAATGCTGACTCTAACTCTAGGCAAAGGCTGAGTTGGGGGGTCGCGGGGCTCCCCTCTCCCCCCCAGAGGGGAAGAGAGGGAGCCCAGCCACCCCCTGGCCTTGTCCACCTACACGCAGCAGATAGCAACAGCCAAACAACCAAGACAGAACTTGCCAACAGCTTCCAGTGCTGTGATATATGATTTTGAGTAGTAGCGAACAACATGAGTAGTGATTGGCTCTCCAGGGAACACTGTCCTGGCACCCAATCACCTCTGAGCCCCCCCAGCCTCTCAGGGGGGCCAATTTCAAACTATGACAGGTATGTATGTCACTCTACACTATTCTTACTCAACAACTACACCTACACATCTCTCAAGATCAAGAGTTGTTGGGGTCTCACTTAAGAATTCAAAACTGGCTTAAATTAATTGTTTCCATTGGCATTTATTCAACCAAAGATAATTCTCCAGGATGACCATGAAAAGGGAATGCAAAAGGGACACACCTACACCAGCTGTAAATGTAAAAGCTTTCTTGACAAAAAAAACAACAACAACCAACCAAAACAAAACCACAGAACAAAACACTCACAGTGTTCAGGGTGTATTTACTCAATTCTCTCATTTCCAATTGTTATGAAGATAACATCCAGAGGGGTTTAGAACCTCAGTCACTGTAAATCAGCACATTGTAACTGACTTTCTTACAACAAAAGAACTTTGTGGATTCTGGCTCAATATATTGCCAATGGTTTATATTACTAAGATTACACAAATTCTCTAAGTCTATCCAGTAAGTGCTCCTTGTCAGCACTTTCAACTTCTATCCTAAAACAGGTTACAAAATGCAGGTGAGTCTCTCTCTATTCTTGGACTAGATCAGTTGTCCCTGATAGAATACACCACCATTCACAGGAAAAAAAATGAAGTACATAATGCACCTCTCACCTCCACAATATGTTAACTATACAACTGTTTTCATGCTCTAGTTCTTAAAGTTAACAATGTGACAAATTAGAAGCCAAAAAGAACAATTTTGTTAGGAAGAGCTACTAATGCAAACATATTCTTCTGAACTTCCAGTCCTCAACTGAGTTAATAAATAACATCTTGTTCAACAGAGTGTTTGTGGAATTGTTACATGGACAGAAAAAGCACTTTTCCCTACTCACCTCCTGGAGGCCTGACAATTGTTACAGCATCACTTATCAAGCTGCCCTGGGTGTTGGATGCATTCACTTGCACTTTGTAGTTAGAAAATGGAATCAGGCCTTTAATGGGTACCCACACATTGAATTTCCTGCTGCTGCAGAACATCTGAGTATCATTTACCATCAAATAATAAGAATTATCTGTTAGGAAAAAACAAGAAAGAGTGGAGAAGAAAAAATGTTAGACCTTGTGTCTGCTACAATTCACTGTCTTTAGGAACTAAGTCTTATTCCTACTCAAAAGAAGACTTGCTGTTTATACCAATAACACACACCCACACACGAAACTTTGGCTATTGGGGAGAAAAAAAATTATTCATAATTTCTCCTGCTTTTGGCAACAGTTTATGGTACTTGTAAATCTTGGAAAATAAACAAACCAATCCATGAAGCAACCGTGCAGTTGCAGAGCTGACTGCTATATACTGCAAACAGAAGCCAGCTCTCAGAAATTACTTATCTTCTAGAAAAGTTGTGTGATAACTGCAAATTCCAAATGTTAGTGTTCATTCTTGTGCCTATGATACACTGGTAAAAATTTCGGAATTCACTAGAAAAATGCTTCCCTTAGGAGTTTATAAGCTAACTCCATTGCATACAGCAGAAAAAGTCACCTGCAGTAACACCTGCTTTCCAGCATGACCTGCAGTCCCCTCAAATATAAAAGGATTGGAAGCATTCAGTTTATCAGTTGAAATCATCAGAGGACACCACAGCAACCTACATGTCCTTTGCAAACCTTTTAAGATCTCACTCTTAAGATAAGACAAAAATAAAAGAAACCCTTTCCAAAATACCCCGTAAGACTAGAAAATAAAAAAAAAAAAATATGACAGGTAACAATTTTTTTCAAATCAATGAAGAGTTCACTCACATATCTGAGAGTAAAGCTGAACTCATTTAAAGATTATCCTGTATTTCAAACATATAAAGCACTCTATAAATGATTAATATTATTACTATTATTCATCATTCCATGGAGAGCTCTCACAGTGAAGTCAAAGGAAATTCTCTGTCACAAAAAACAACAGAGTCACAGAAGTCTAAGATCACAGGTATGAGAATGAGATTAGCAGTATATAACTATTAAAAATACTGTAAGTGAAGTCAGGTATTGTCACAGGCAGTAGATTGAATATTCACATCTGAGTCCTCAACAAAAACCTAGATAAAATGGAATTAAAAAAACCCTTAGAAAATCAATGTTTTAATTAAATTTTTTAAGGGAATTTCCTTGGATTTACACATTTTCATTCAAGTTTTAAATGAACTGTTAAAACTGAAATGTTATTAAATCTGAAAACGGTTTTCCAATCTCCCATATTTCCATGATGTGCTCTAACACGTGTGTGTGCAGCACATTTCAGTCCTCCTCACAGGACATTTTACCACGGAGGAGTGATCTGGATTTTCTTCTAATTTGAGGAAGTCCAAGTAATTCCATTATTTTGGTGTTCACAGAGTGGCACAAAGGGTGTTTTCAGTGATTCTTCTGGTAACATATGACGCACTTATTTTCTGAGGTTTTGTGCGGGGCAGTTTTGTAAAACTCTTTAGAAATCTGCCTTGTAGCCTAGTTCCTTATTGCTCAAATTCTCCCTGGATGACACCGTGCCACAGTACCAAAGCACCTGGACAGACTCCAGCAGTGTGAAGGTGGAATGGTTTCATGGAACCTGATGGATTCAGTTTGGATTTCACTGAAGTTTACACAAGCCCCAGACCCCGTTTTAGATACAGCAATGAAGGCAAAACTTCTTATCCTGCAAGAAGAACAACCACGTTTCACACACTCCACACACAGAATCCTGCAGGAGCAAAGTTATTTTGTCTGACATTACTCTTATGGACCCAGGCTGCTCAACCAGCACCAGAAAAATGCATCTCCAGTACCTGAACTCAGTTCTTCAATTGTACATCCAACCCTCCTTCTGCACCTTTGTGAAACTGTCCCTGGGTGTGATTTGGGAGCAGATACAACCCAACAAAGCACATTTCTCCTCTCATCTATCACAGTTTCTCCTGATGCCTTAAGCCCCTAATGTTTTTTTTTATTTTTCTAATATTGGTAAGCCTTATAAGTTTTATAAGTAGATTCTAAAAGCAGTAACCCTCCCTCCTTTGTCCCTTGTCCCTTATCCCTTTCCCTGTAGCACCCTTGTTTACATATTCCTTAACCCTCTTACCCCATTCTATGCTCCCTATATCACTCCTACCCCTGAATACAGCAGAAATGTTTAGTCTTTTGTCAAGGCAAGGCCTAGATTGTTGGCAGAACAGCGTATCAGGGCCTAAACCACAGAATACGGTCAAGAATTAGGTAACTATGTACCCTTTGTGCTCTGATGATGGTGAAGGTGATGAAGTAGGTGGTCCTGAAATGCACCCCAGACGCATTTCTCAGGGGTGGACCCGGGGCGATCCAGAGTAAAGGCCACAGGGTGGACACATCTGGGATTGGATGGATGGTATTATAAAATGTAACCTCTCGGGAACAGGGGCACCCGTCTTGTAACATCTTTAGCCTTGGCAAAATAAACCCTTTCTTATCTCACCCCTAATTAACTGCTCTGGGAGATTTTTTCAGCACCATAAATCCCACGGCAACACTCCAGTGTCTGAGACTGAGTACTTGTGACCATCAGACAACAACATGTGACTGTCATATGCACCTATTATTTAATTAACAATGAAGTCACTAGAAATGGCCAACTTTATATAGGACATATACATTCTTAAGGTTCCAGTGACATGAAACACTTCAGGACTCAGTTGGTTGTGGAAAAAAGATGCATTTTTTAAACATTTCCCCTCCATTGTATAGGAAAGCTAAAAAATTATTGTTGACAGATTGGCACATAGGATAAATTCAAATTTTAAGCATAACAGTAGGTTGCCTAGTAGCAATTTATATACCAAATTCATGAGAAAATGAACTTTTTTCTATCTACGGTACAGTTTTAACATGTTAATATTTTTATTTTCATCCACCTGAACCTGGAAGGAAAACATGTGTTTCCTCTGTTGATATTTTTATTCCATTATTAATCTTTCTACCAATGACTAACTATACTATACTTAAAAATACAGTTTTGAGTAACAGAATATGAATTAAAAGGATAACACTCTATTCCAAGTTGCCTGGATAACAAAATTACTGTATAGTAATTATACAATTAGCTGTAACATTAAATTCTAGTTATAACAAAGTGATCACTCAGCAATTATAAGAAGTATATAATTACTCAATAAGTAGAAGAAGTATGTAATTACATAACCATTTGATTCAGCTCAAAAACAAACTTGCAAATTTACAATGAGATAGACAACACAGCAGTTCAACATTTTTCATTGCTTCTTATAAAAAACCAAGGAGTACTTGTAAGTTTCCTAACCCAAATTTCATACAGATCAAAGCTGTTTTTATCCCTCTTCCCAACCAAGCAACTTACTGCTGCTGGCAAGTAAAATGTTAGAAGAACAGTTTTAAAATGCAGGTCTTGCTGGGGCTGACTTGCAATTTGCAGCTTTGCCACTTCTCACTGCTTCAACTCAGCTTTCAGTGGGCTGGAAAATGCAGACACAGAGGTTCAACCTGACAGACAGTGACACAGTGATAACCCTGTCATATCCTTCCATGCCATTCCTGCCCAACTTGCCCCAGTGGGGATCCAATTGGTGAGTAGAAGTAGACAAGGTCTCTCTTTTTCCATTTTTCATGTGTGCTTTTCTCTCCATCCTGCTCACAGGTCCTACTGTACCCTACCAGCAAGTCTGCTGCAGATCTAAACAGCAGGTGCCTCAGATACTAGGAAAGTCCTAAAAGACATTGTTTACTTCAGACAAGTGGTTTGTACCAGAACACCTCCTTGTTCCTGCACTCGGTCTTGTCATTGCTGCCAGGAACAGACACCAGCACTCCAACAAGCAAGGTCTCTGCACAACACAGGAACAACCTAAAGAGGCAGGAAACAAACTCCTAGATCTGGTTCACCATGTCCTTCAACCCTTAAGACATTGCAAATAACTGTGCCAAAAACTGAATTTGAATGGGAGGAGGTTCAGAGCCACCATCTCCTATAGGCTGTTAAAAAAGACTAAACCCTTTGCAGACGTGAAGGGTTTCCCAAAGTTCCTTCATCTTTCCATAGTTTTGCATAGTGATGGTTTTGTTCTTTTACTGAACCTTCCTGCTCAGTTCTCCACAGCTCCCCAAAAGTATCTGAGGGCCTTCTTTCCCTAAACCTGCTATTTGAGAAAAACCTCAGAAAAACTCTTCCAAGTTTTTCATAGTTTATACCAGATCAAAGGATCTCAGTTTTTCAGGAAAAGATGCAAATGAAGAAACTAGGGCTAAAGAATATCCATATCCACACTTAAAAATTGTGGTGGGCTGGGGGTTTGGAGCGATACCTGGTCTTCCTCGAGGTGCACGGAGAGCGGCTCCAGCAGGTAAAGTTGTCCCAAGTCCATGTGCGCCCGGTCACCATCCTCCGTGCACCCCGCAGGGAAAAGCAAAGATTCCGTGGCCGACCCTGCACTCTTTGCACGGGCACGCTCTGGGAGCAGAGGCGGCAGGCAGGGACCAAAAGTTCGCCTGCACTTGATCAAGGGCTCAAAGCCCCACACAGAGCTTATGAATATGCAACAGGGCGAGACATTTGAATACCCCGGGACGGCCCATTGGTGGGGCGGCGGCAAATCAGGTACCAAGGGTGCGGGGGTGGCAGGTAGAGGGTGGGGGCGGGGCAACAGCCTTGGAACAAAGCCTTGGAAATCTTTTATCCATACACGGGATGACTGGAACCATCACATCAGGGTTATCTCTACATGCTGTCTTTATGTCATCTGACATCTAATGCATGGTTTTTAAAACAATAGATGAAAGGGGTTGCACTTTTTAAAGGCACAAGGAACACTAAACTCAACGCTCACAGTTGAATAAATAACACTACAATAAATACCAACATCAGAAAAACATCTATTTTAAGTCCTGAAAACCAGAAAAAAGACTTTCCACATGGGTGTCCTGTCATCCAGAACTATAAGGGAAAAATTCAGTAGAATAAAGAAGTCTATAAGTGTTCTCTCCACTGACCGCTGTTCTTTCACTGACCTAGGAAGCAAGAATTTGGCACAGAATTAATACTGGAGAAAAATGAGACCAGTGAAGTATCCTGAGCTCAGGATAACCTGACTGTGCTGGGGAATCAGAGCTTTCACCATGGGAAATTAACTGCTCTGAAACAGTGGGAAGAAATCAGTAACAAAGGCAGAGTTCAAATGCTCAAGAGTAAACAAGTCCTTCCTCACCAAAAGGTCTGAACTACCCTTAACTCATCTCTAGACATCCATGGAAATAAAACACCCTGACCTTGAACCCAAGGGAAACAAAGACAAATTCAATGGCTTTAGCAGGAGCAAGGTTGGAGGGGGGGATGTGTCACTCCTCTATGACATCACATGCTCCCTGTGACATCACACGTCCCCTATGACATCACACCTCCACTATGACATCACACCTCCACTATGACATCACATCTCCAGGCTCTCCAGCCCCTCTGCCCCTAGCCTGGAGCATTCCAGGGAGTTGTTGGGACCCAAGGTCTGGCCCTGACACTTGGTCTTATTGATCCAACCTGTCCAGATCCCAGAACATGTTCCAGCAAGGACATGGAACCAAAAACCATTGTGACACTGCAGGGTCTTCTGGAGCCCTGGAACACTGGGCAATCTCATGGAATCAAGGCTGCACTGTCATCCTGGGAAAACTCCTGGAATTCAGGGCCCATTGTGACACTGCAGGTCCCCATGAAACAAAAGGAACCCAGATGCTGTGGAAACTCCTGAAACCACGGGACCATTGTGACACTGAGGGGGGTTGATGGAATCAGGAGTCCATTGGGACAATCCAAGGCCTCATGAAATCAAAGGAAATCTGGGACACTGTCAAACCACCTGGAACCAAGGGTTCCTAGTGACATGTGTGTCCTCCTGGAACCAAGGGAGCCCAGATATTTCTGAACCTCCCAGAATCCAGGGGCCATTGTGACCCTAGATTTAAGTGGACCATTTGAAACTGCACGATTACATAGAAGCCAAGGATTCCTGGAGCACTGCAGAGCTCATGGAACCAAGGGGCCACTGTTGCACTGCAGCTACTTCTGAAGCACAAGGGACCCTAGAACAATGAGAAATCTCCAAGAATACAAAGGACATTTTGGGACTGCAGGGTCTCGTGGAACTAAAGGAACTTTTGAAGACTGTGGAAGTTCATGGAATCAAGGAGCCATTGGGACATGTGGGGCCTCCTGGACGCAAAGAAACCCTGAGAATTTTTCTGGGAACAAGTTAAGGCAGCAGAAGCTGCATTCAGTTAATCAGGATCAACAAGGGGTGTTTTGGCTTTGACTGGTGTTTTCCATCAATAGAGTGCTGTTTGCCAAAGTGGAAAACCACTTGGAATGCTCTGCATGGTAGCCTGTGTTTTTCTCTGGTGGTTGAACACATCCAGCACATGAGGCGAGAGGAATGTGTGGGATCGGGGCACTGCTTTGGGGCGATGCTGGGAATTCCCGTGGACTAAAAGACAAACCCCAGGCACTGTTTCCAAAGGAACCCAAATGAAAGGGGGACGCCGGAAAGATGGGTGGAAAAGTCCCGCAATGGAACTCTGTGTGTGCAACCTCATTTTATCCTTCAGCTCCAACAGGAAAATGGGCAAAAAGTGCGGGTTGGGACCCCAAAACTGATTAGGGGGGAAAATGGGGGACAATAGGAAAGTGAGAGAAATAGGGAGAAGGGTGAAAAAGAGGGGGTGGTCTGGTGGGTCGATGGTCCCATGGGGATCTTTGGGCACAGTGGGGTTGGCAAAGGAGAGTGGTCCCCCTGAGCTCCCAACTTCCTGTGGGGTGCTGGGGGCTGCTGGATCCAATTGCAGCCTTGGATTATGCCAGCAGTTTCAGTTTAGAGGAACTACAGAGGTGTGACTAAAACACTTTTTTCCCCCAGGTTTTAATGATTGCAAATCAGATTTATTGATAGAAATGAGTTATTTAGGGTTACAAATGATCAGACAAAAGATCTTCATCAGAATTATTTACTCCACAATAGAAACACTAAAACTACCAGGAGTACAGGATAAGACAGGACAGTGCTCTACACTAAAGCAATTGTTGAAGCACTTCTACTCAAGCTGGCACAAAAGCAATAATTCTTCATTAGAGATGGATGGAACTCCCCCAAACCAACGTTCGTGGGGAGATCTCTGCTCTCAACCTCCAGCAGTGACCTTGTGGGGGTCCCCAGCCAAGGCAGCAATCTCCACACACACCCCTAAGAAGGATTCTGTTGGAAGAACTTGCCCCTGTTAATGGGGACTGGCCCTTTGTGGTCGAAAGGGATGGACGGACAGTCACTGGACTCCAGGGGGTTCCCTCACCATCAGTAGGTTCATTCGGGGTGGAAGCAACGGCCGAAGCTCTTCCTGCATTTGGGGTACGCGTAGGGCTTCCCTTACTAGTGGGTCTGTTGGTGTTTGATCAAGCTAGAGCTGTGAGTGAAGATCTTCCCACACTGCCAATACTTGTAGGGCCTCTCCCCGGTGTGGATGCACCAGTGGGTGACAAGGTTGGAGTTGTGCTTGAAGCTCTTCCCGCAGTCAGTGCAGCGGAATGGCCTCTCATCCCTTAGGGTCCGTTGGTGCAGGAGGAGAACTGAGCTGGTCGGAAACCTCTTCCCACATTCCCCAGTGTAGGGACGTTCCCCAGTGTGGATGTGCTGGTGGGTGAGAAGCTGGGAGCTGTTCCTGAAGCTCTTCCCACATTCCAGGCACTTGCAGGGCTTCTCCCTGCTGGGAGATTAATCAGGGACCACCAGGTCAGAGCTCTGGCTCAAGCTCTGTCCACCTTCCCAGTACAGCCTGAGTCTTTTCTCCTCAGAGCACCCTGGGCTGGCTTTGGAGCCCCTCCTGCAGGGGCATCTCTGGGCCTTTTCCTCCCTGCTGCCTTCCTGCACCGTGGAGCCCTTCAAAATGGCTTCTCCCACCAGGTTCTGCCAGGGGGATTTGTCCTCCATGCTCTCTGTCCTAAGCTCGGGGCCTGGGGCAGGAAGCAAGAAGGACAGGGAGGGGATTTGCCTCCGACCCAGAGGGAAGGCCAAGGACATCCCCCCAACTCCGGCCTTGGCAGGACGGCGGCGGCAGCGGGGTTGTCCTGCAGCCGGGGGCCATGCTCGGCTGCCAGAGGCAGCACAAGACCAGGACAAAGGGGCACTGAGTTCCTCCTCACCTGCCTGGGGGGCCCGCGGCATCTTCCTCTTCCTTGCAGTCTCCTCCTCCATCTGCCCAAGCTTTGGGAAAGAGAAAATCTGTTGGGGGGGAAAACAAGGGCTGAGTGCATTGGCTTGGGGGTTCCTCCTGCCCAAGTCCATCTCTAGAACTCACCGGGTATCCTGTGTCCATAAAAACCTCCAAAACACCAAGATTCAGCCCAGAAAAACTCAAACCACCAAGATTCAGGCAAAAAACCATGCAGAAATATCAAGAAGACCCTGTCCCCCAAACTGCAAAAATGTGAGATTCAGCAAAAAAATACTCCAAAACATCAAGATTAGCCCAAAAAAAATCCCACCCTGGAGTTCCCCCTGTCTGGTCACTCCCCTCTGGGGTTCAGAGGGTCTCTCCTGTCTGGGATGCTGGGAGTCCTGCCTAGGGATGCTGGGAGTGTTGGGGGTCCCAAGGGTCCCTTCTCCTCTGGCTCGCCTTCGTGGTGCCACGTTCCCAGACATTCCCTCTCTCCAGGTTCTCCACTTTGTTGTCCCAGGGATCCCAAGTGTCCCCAATGTCCAGGATTCCCCTGCTTGGGAAGAGGCAACTCGTCCCAAATATCCTGGGGGAAGCGTGGGAGGTCGTGACATGCTCAGGCTACCAGCACAGTTTTCCCTGCAAAGTCTGCAGTGAGTCAAGCTTTGCAGAGGAGACTGTGCCACATGGATTGGATTGCAGAGGGTCCCTCAGGTCCCTAGCAGGAATCAGCAACCAGGAATATACACAAAAGGTCCCCCCAAAGATTTCTGGGGGAGAGGACAGTGTCACCTCATCAGGGTGGGGCTGGCAAGTTGGAGGTTGCTCCAGGGGTATGCAAGAGGCCTTGTGCTCTGCTCGGCCCCAACAGTGGCTGGTACCAACACCTCCAGCTGCCCCTGGCCCTGGGCAGTTCTACTGCCACAGGCTGTGCCCTCACCATGGCCCTGCAATGGCCCTGGCTGTCCCTCACCCGCAACCCTGTCCCTTGGCTCTCTCTCTGCCAGTTGAGTGTGGGGTACACGGGCTGGGGGTCCCTCCCGCGCCCACTGGGCAGCCGGCGTTGGTTGGGGGGATGTGAGGGCTGGACCTGCTCAGGACAGCCCCGACCTCGTGCCCAGCACCTCTTTCCTGCCCCACACAAGAGCTTCCCCGCC